CTAGATCCCTAAGTGGCCCCCTCAAGGATTGAACTCACAACCCTGGTCTAGCAGACCAATGCTCAAACCACTGAGCTATCCCTCCCCCATCTTCCAAAGCAAGCACAAAAGCATACAGAGAAAATATATAAAAACAATCAAAAGGTCCTATGCACTTAAAAATATCAGAAATAGACCAACAGAGGGTCCTGTGACACCTTTAAGACTAACAGAAGTATTGGGAGCATAAGCTTTCGTGGGTAAGAAAGTCTTTGTTTAATCCTGATCTGATGGTGTCAAATTTGCAAATGAACTGGAGCTCAGCAGTTTCTCTTTGGAGTCTGGTCCTGAAGTTTTTTTGCTGTAAGATGGCTACCTTTACATCTGCTATTGTGTGGCCAGGGAGGTTGAAGTGTTCTCCTACAGGTTTTTGTATATTGCCATTCCTGATATCTGAGTGTTTTCAGTTGAATTCTTTCCCAGAGAGAGGCCTTCCTAATTTGAATCTTTGCTGTAGCTTTCAAAAGATCCCTTTGCACACAGAGCCTTTGTCATCCATGCCTGTTTGCTAACCAGATCCACAACAAAGCTGCAAAGCATACCTGGCGCTCTGGCCCCCGCTGCTGAACTTGGTTCGGACTGGCTGGCGGGGGAACACTTGAACCCTCTAGGTTTGGGGACTTTACTCCTCAGTCTTTTCCTTTAACTGCGCTAGAAATTTTAGCAAGTGATCCTGAAAGCGTTGCGTCGCGTCTACACAGCAGCCAGGAGGCCTAATGCCCAGCTCAGGTAGACACGCACGCTCTAGTTCGGCTCCAGCTAGTGCCTAAAAACAGCAGCGTGGCCACGGCACCCCTCGGGGTAGACCTCCAAGCACGTGCCCAGGGAGTCGTGTGGGATTGTACTCAGGTGGCTACCTCGAGCTGCCGCCCGTGCCCCTGTGGCCACACCTTTCTTTTTAGGCACTAGCTCAAGCAGATCTAGCATGTGTCCGCCTCCCCAAATCGGGAGTTACACCTCCTGGCTGCTGTGCAGATGTACCCTTGAGCTAACAGGGTTCCTTGCTATCTCCGATGTCTGACTCTCGTCTCTTGCCATTTCAGTGCCGGGGGGCTGGGAAACACACTACAGCTGCTGTTCAGGAGCTGTGGGTTCACCAGGATGCCAGGTGGCCAAAGTAAGTTGTGCTTTTTTTCCTCTCCATGACCCTGATGATCTGTCGCTTACTGTCTTGTGTGCGCTTTCAAAAGACTCACTGGTTTCTTTGGGAAAAGCGATTATATATTCAACATATTCAGTTATTAAAAGGTTGGAAATATTCTTTAAAAAAATCATGTGGCGAGAGAGGGGTTTCTGCTTGGAATTTGGCTGCATGATTCCAGGCAAACCATCATGCCTGACACCCTCAAGGAGTTAAGATCTGGTCTGCTTTTAGGGGGTGTGAGAGCTATAGTAAAAGGGAGGCCGAGAAGGTTGGTGCACTCGAGCTACAAGTACAATCACTGCTATTACTGATGCTTGGAAACAGCTACGTGGCACAAAGCAGTCTCAGAACTAGTGTCTCTCTCTCTGATTTTCCCTTGGCCTTCCCTTCCTCACACGCCTATAAAAGCCACTCTTGGTTTGGGGGTGGGGAGTATAGGGTTTTCTTCCCTCTACAGGGCACTTTCATTACCCTGGCTAGTTCTGTCCTCCTCCATATCAGTGCTCAACGCTCCCCCCCACCCCCTTCTGGGAAAGTACCGGATGGGAGAGTCCCTTTGGAACCCGTAAATGCTGCTTAAATCTTGGGAGCGCAGCAACTGAAAGTGATTCTAGCACCTGAAATCCAAGTGGGTAAGAAACCAGCTCAGAAATCGAGCTCTGGTCTCTTGCTCCAGGGAGCGGAGTATTGCTCCCAAATGCTTAGTTGGTAAAAGGTGCCTCTCTTTCTATGTGCAACTTATAACTGGAACCCTAGCCCTGGCCTAGGACCAGTCTTGGGAACAAATGACTGTCTAAAGCGAGCGCCCCTGTCCCATCAGCTCCTCCCGTTGGGTTTGTTGAGCTGCTTCTCAATCATTTGCTTCACTGGCTTCTCCGTTCTTTCTTGTTGCTAGATATTTTCTTTCCAGACCAAGAAACATGATATAGAACAAAGCAAGAGGGAACACAGAAGGAGCTTATCGAGTTTTATTGGGTCCCAAATTTAATCAACTTCAAAATGTCTGATATGCCCCATGTCTTAAAAATCTGTAGCAAGAGAGCTCATTTTCTACCGCCCTGTTTTTGAGGCCCCTGGCTGGCCCAGCAGCAATGATGAAGTAATGACTGGAGAGGTCTGTACATCCTGTTAACCTGACTCTGGCGCTTGCAAAGGACAAACAAACAAAAGGCAACCATATTTGATGCCAGGAAATACGAGGGCAGCTGTCAAACTCAAGGTTTTGCAAAACAGAAAAGGCTTCAGGGGTGTGTACTGTACAGAATTATCCTGCCCTGGCCCTCAGGGCAGAGACTAGATTTACTAGGCTTTTGCTCTTTCTAATTTATTATTACTCACATAGTAGAAAAGAGACAATGTTTTTTAATCATCGGTTATATCTGACAGTGTTCTAAGGAAAAATACAATGGGGGGAAGTCATAGAATCAGAATATCAGGGTTGGAACGGACCTTGGCAGGTCATCTAGTCCAACCCCCTGCTCAAAGCAGGACCAACCCCAACTAAATCATCCAACTAAGTCAGAAGACCTTGACAAGAAGTTATAGAAACATGACTTCCCTGAAGGCTTCTGTACTGCTGTCTGAGGCCATCTTAAGCCATAAAAATTCACAGCCTTTCAAGAAATATTCAATCTCCCCAGTAGCCTCTTTGAGGCATCCTTCTGCAACCGCCATCTCCTGGTTGCTATTGTACTATTGCTACACAACAATCATCTCTTTTCTGTTTTCTATCAAAGTGGGTGAGTTTTCACAGCATCCCTTGACGGCAGAGCCAGTATCCATGATCCCCCAGCAGACGTGTGATGAGGGAAAGTAGAATGTGCGTGTTTGGAAGGAGAGGGAAGAGAGCTCATCTCAGCAGCCCTGAAGGCAGGCATTGTAAACAACAAATAGCTGTAGCCAAGGCACTATGAATGGGATATTTGGCTGTTCTTCGCCCTAGCGAAATTTCTACATCTTTTCCTGCCAAACGTACTTGAGATGCACAGGCCCTGAGCTGCATTGCAATTAGCAAATCTAACAGCAGATGGCAGACTGTAGCTGCACAGATGACTTTAGCTTTCCTAGAAATGTGCATCTGGAACTGCTGTACTTCACAGTAACTGTTGAGGGCTGGTTCTCCTCACCATCTAAACACTGGAGGTAAGAGAGTAAACTCCCAAGTGACACAGTCAGACAGCCATTAGCTATCTGTGGTCCCAGCATATCTGTTAGGTTATTTTACTGACCCCAGTCCTATTGCAGCCCTAGTTGAGGGAGGAAAAACCCACTTGATACCCAATGACCAGTCTTTGTAAGTATCTGCCTCCTGCCATTTCTTAGCAAAAGAAACCTGATACGTGTGCACAGATGCAGTGCTGGCAGGTCTGGCCGTTGACTGCATGGAAATGGTTGACCTATTGTACACAGGAATAGTGTTGGCTTTGAAGAAACCGATACTGAGGAGAAATGTTGGCAACGCAGGGCTGCTGTACAGTCACTGATGCACAGCATAGTTCATTCCCATTCATGCAGTTTCCTGCACTGTGGGCATGTCTGATTTGCAGTAATCACTTGTTTATGCAAATATGCAACTCTCTCTGCCTTTATTGGGTACCTTTTAAACATCTGCTTTGATTAGCCTACTGCCTTTGGATCTCTTCATCTATGCAGCCACCTTGACTTCTAACTCTCCGTACCCAGTCACCAAACCTAGTGCCAGATGTAATTTATTTCCTTATGGGACAAGGAGGAGCCGGAGACAAGTGAGGTGCGTTGGTGTATGGAGGAGATGAGCTATTGAGGCAGCCGTGTTGGTTGTGGGCATGTAGCTGGAGAGTTGAGGGTGGTAGCCAGGCAGAGCTTAGTAAATTACAGAAGCCAACTGAGAATGGAAAGAACATAGATAAGACTTTCCAGGATGCAGTAGAACAGTCCCACCCCTGGTCTGACAGCCTCTGTGCTGTTGAAGAGGATAAAAGGAAAGGAGACCATCCAACTGGAGCAGAGGGAAACGATCCTATAGTTGGGATCATCCTTCCAGATGATGTCATGGTATCCTCTCGCACTGAGGGTACCTCTCCGGGGCAGGGAACTCCAGTTATTAGGAAGAGACAGGTAATAGTTATGGGGGGATTCAAATATAAATAGCTGGGTTTGCAATGACCAGGAGAGCCTCATGGTGACGTGCCTGCCTGGTGCAAAGGTTGCGGATCTCTCAAGACATCTAGATAGACTTTATGTGCAGTGCTGGGGAGGGACCGGTGGTCATGGTACTTGTACGTACCAATGACATAGGGAAGGATAGGAGAGAGGTCCTGGAGGCCAAATTTAGGCTGCTACATAAGAGATTGAAGTCCAGGACCTCCATGGTAGCATTTTCTGAAATGCTTCCAGTTCTATGCACAGGGTCACTTAGACAGGCAGAACTGCAGGGTCTCAATGCGTGGATGAGACAATGGAGTAGGGAGGAGGGGTTTAGATTTATTAGGAACTGGGGAAACTTTTGGGAAAGGGAGAGCCTATACAGGAAGGATGGGCTCCACCTAAACCAAAATGGAACCAGATTGCTGGCACTTAAAATTAAAAAGGTTTTAAACTGGAGGCTAGAGGAAAGCCGACAGGAGGAGCACATGGTTCAGACAGAGGCATCCTTTAGGGGAGGATATATTAATGGAGATTCTCTATGTCCTAGTAAGGAGGAGAGGATGGAAAATGATAAAATGGGTAGGATCTGATAAGAAACAGTCAAATAAAAAAGAGGCCCATTCAATTACATCATGTAATGGCAGACAGCTAAAAAGTGACAAGTTTTTAAAGGGCTTATATACAAATGCTAGAAGTCTAGATAATATAGGTGAACTAGAGTGCCTCATAACAAATGAGGATATTGATATAATAGGCATCACAGAAACTTGGTGGAATGAGGACAATCAGTGGGACACAGTAATACCAGGGTTCAAAATATATCGGAAGAACAGAACAGGTCGTGCTGGTGGGGGAGTGGCACTATATGTGAAAGAAAGCATAGAATCAAATGAAGTAAAAATCTTAAATGAAGCTAAACTGTACCATAGAATCCCTATGGATAATAATTCCATGCTCTAATAATAAGAATATAGCAGTAGGGATATATTACCGACCACCTGACCAGGATGATGATAGTGACTGTGAAATGCTCAGGGAGATTAGAGAGGCTATAAAAACTCCCCATATTGACTGGATACATGTCACCTCAGGACAGGATGCAGAGATAAAGTTTCTTGACACCTTAAATGACTGGTCTTGGAGCAGCTAGTCTGGAACCCACATGAGGAGAGGCAATTCTTGATTTAGTCCTAAGTGCAGCACAGGATCTGGTCCAAGGGGTGAATATAGCTCGACGACTTGGTAATAGTGAACATAATATAATTAAAGTTAGCATCTCTGTGGCGGGGGAAAACTCCACAGCAGCCCAACACTGTAGTATTTAATTTCAGAAACGGGGCCTACACAAAAATGAGGAAGTTAGTTAAATAGACATTAAAAGGTGCAGTGCCAAAAGTGAAATCCCTGCAAGCTGCGTGGAAACTTTTTAAAGACAGCATAATAGAGGTTCAACTTAAATGTATCCCCCAATTTAAAAAACATAGTAAGAGACCCAAAAAAGTGCCATTGTGGCTAAACAACAATGTAAAAGAAGCAGTGAGAGACAAATAGGCCTCCTCTAAAAAGTGGAAGTTAAATCCTAGTGAGGAAAATAGAAAGGAGCATAAACTCTGGCAAATGAAGTGTAAAAATATAATTAGGAAGGCCAAAAAAGAATCTGAAGAACAGTTAGCCAAAGACTCAAAAAGTAGTAACAAACATTTTTGTAAGTACATCAGAAGCAGGCAGGACTGCTAAACAACCAGTGGGGCCACTGGATGATCGAGATGCTAAAGGAGCACTCAAGGACGATAAGGCCATTGCAGAGAAACTAAATGAATTCTTTGCATCAGTCTTCACGGCTGAGG